TGGGCTGGGTGCCCCAGTTGTGCGGGGTGGGATGGGTGCCCCAGCCCTGCAGCCCTTGGGGAGGGTGGGCTGGGACTGTGCAGTCGTCTCATCGTCTTGTAGGTGTGGAAATGGCACCTGAGCGCGGGTTGATTTGGTTGTTATGGAGGTTTTTTGGGTGGGTTTTTTTGCTTGTTTAAGGTCTTCTCTGCCTGTTTGTGACCTGTTTCTTCGTGAATCAGGGTGTCTGCCGTATGGAGTTTCTTCAGCCTTTTCCCAGCAGGCTTCTGAGTTCCAGTTGGGTCCCTGAGCTCTGCTGAACTTCTGATTTTTATTGTTTTTCGTACTGTCTGTATTTTGCCCGCTCCTCACATGCCTTTGCAGCCATAGCATTAGAGTCCCTGTTGTGTGCTCGCTCGCTGATGTGTCTCTCGTTCTCGCTTGTCTCCTCTCCAGGTTCCGATGATTCTGGTTGGCAATAAATGTGACCTGGAGGAAGAGCGCGTAGTCGGCAAAGAACAGGGTCAGAACTTAGCAAGACAGTGGTGTAACTGTGCCTTTCTAGAATCGTCTGCAAAGTCTAAAATCAACGTTAATGAGGTAACTATCAGCTGTTCCCTTGTCTCTCCTACTTCAGCATGAACGCCACATTAAACCAGCACGTGGTCCTTTGTCTGTTTAACGGGAAGGATTCAGGATGGTTCTGTAATCTCAGCCTGAGAATGGCTTGTGAAGCAGTCTATTTAGGTACTACTTTGTTTTAAGGAGATCTCCTTTTTCTCTGTAAAGGCTGGGTGTGACTTCTCCAGGTAGGTGCTTTCTATAGCCCGTGTCAGACGAATAGCAGAGGGTCCTGAGTATGCCCAGGTAACTGGATGGCTCTTAGCTTAGATAAACTTTAGCTGGAGAGTATACTTTTTCAAGATAACTGCTGCAGCTATTCAGAACATGTCCCATTGTATGACATGTCCTGTTGCGTAGTGTTGGCTGTTGTTTCTGAAAGTATTTGCTTTTCACATTCCTCTCAGGCAGACACCCCATCGCGGTCCTCCTGGTAAGCCACTAACTTATGGAGACCAAACGGATCTTTGAGCAGTTCCCCGTGCCTAAACGAGAAACCCCTTTGCCATCGGGGTGCCTTCCGCTGCTGTAGTGTAGTTCTGCTGAGGGAGCTGTGTTTGACATCAGGCACCAAGTTTTTGTTCTCTGCTGTGGATTATCGGACTGTGACAGAGGCCAGGTTTCCAGCCACAAAAGCAAAGGTGATCCCACTGGTGCCAGGAGATAACCGGGACCGTTTAGGAGGCTGTGCGATAAGCAGGAGCAGGAGGATCTTGGACGGGACCCAGCGTGGGTTTGGCAGGCGGTGGGACGTGTGCAGCGCTGCATCCACCCGCTGAAAGGGACGGGAGCTCCGGGCTGCGGGAACTGCAGCCTCTCTGGCTGGGATTAGCCCGGCTGGAGCGTGCGCCCATCTAACCCGGTAAATATAGCTCGCTGAGCTGGGCTGTGCCAGCGGGGATCTGTGTGTGTGCCTGAGCTGTAGTAAAACTCTGGCTGTTAATGAAACGAGTGGCTCAGCCATCAGGCAGATCACCGTGGAATAGAACAAATTCTGTTTGTTCGCAGGCTGGGGCAGTGTTTGTGTTATGCTGGGTTTTGGTTTTTAGCTACTTCTGGACTTTCTCACTTTGTTAAAATCTGGGCTAAAGGTCGATAAATTTCTGTGTGCCTTTGGAAATTCAGACTCCTCCTGCACGTCAGTGGTTTAAATACTGAAAGCTGGTTTGTTTCAGCATAGAAGATGCTACTTATTAATTAGTTTCTCCTGCATAAACTCAAATGCTATTTTAAAATATTTTCCACAAGATCTTGATAAAGCCACCGTCATGTTCATTGCATTTGAAACTATTTAACTTTGCCCTAGTGCTTTTTCGTGTAGGTAATAGCCAGAAAATCTTAAATTTCCAGTTGTTACAATTTGTTATAAACTGTTTGTCTTCTGGATTTTCTGGGAATCAACAAGAATTTGTGAGCTGTCAGCCCCTCCAGGAAGGGAAAAAGTAAACAAGGACAAGGGTGGAGCTTTCTGAAGGTTTAAATATTTCTCCTCAATAGTGTGACCCAGCTCCAAGCTCATTTTGCTATAAATGGGTTGAGTATTGCTGGGAAAACAGATCACAAGAAACTCGTCTCTGAAGCTGAAGAGGTCCCTGTAATCATCCCCTTCTGGAAATGTCTGCATCCAGGGCAGATGTTTTGCTTCTCCTTGCTCATTTTATTAATAAACTCAAAAGATTAGACCAGGCAAAAAGCTGAAGTGATGAACAGCTTGAATCTGTTTGGCAAAGAGGAAAATTACCAGTGCAAAATGACTTCGATTTTTCAGTTTGTGTTTTTCATTTTCAGATCTTTTATGACCTGGTCAGACAGATAAATAGAAAAACACCAGTGGAAAAGAAGAAGCCTAAAAAGAAATCATGTCTGCTGCTTTAGACTCCCATCGCGCAGCAGCTCTGAGCCAGGTAAGAGTCTGAATTCCCCCCGCAGCTCGGGGCTGTGAGCTGCTCCCAGCAGAGGGGGGACTCGCTCCTCTTCCTTCTGTCTGCTCCCACATAGGAAATTCTGCATTTGTTGGACTTTTTTTTAAAAAGTCAGTTCTACTGGCTGAGCTGGCAGAGCACTACCGGCGTCTCTCCCTTTCCCCTTCTGCCTGGGTTGATGAGTGCAGCAGAGCAGGAACTCATGGGGACGGGCAAGGGGCTTCCTTTTCACTCCTGCAGGTTCTCCCTCTGCCTTGTGACACCACGCTCTGAGCCACCATGGCTCAGCTTTGCTTCCTTTTTCTCCTCTGCTGAAGTTCAGTACCATCTAGGTACTGTCTCCGCCCCAGGTGCTATGGGGACAACTGCAAACTGGTTTGCGTGGAACATGGATTTCAGTGGCATAGAAATTAAAAGCTGCCCACCAAAACAACCCACAGAACAAAAATGAAGCAAAAAAAAACCCCAAAACAAACCACCCCAAGGTCAGACACAGCTATAAATAATCTTCCTGTGTATCTTGGCAGGGTACTCTGTGTGCTCACAGCTGTTCTGCGGCACTCCTGAAGGAAAACAGCGGGTCTGGAGCTTCAGGTTTGGGGCAGAAATATTACCTAGGCTGCCCCGGGAGCTGTTGGCGTGTTAGCTACCAGCCAGGGAGTGAGAAACGGCCAGAAAGCGAGCAGATCATCCAGGATGGTGCTTGTAGCCCAAAAAGCATCCAGCCTGCGAGCACAGCCTGCAGCAGGGGCAGGCGGCTGCGTCCAGCCCTGTCGGGACGCGTCGGGAGGAGGGAACTCCCCGCAGCGCTCTGGCTGTGTTGCTGCCGTCGCAATCCTGGGCTGCACGGGCTGTCGGCTTCTGGTGATTTCTGTGACCCCTCAGAAGCTCCGTGTTCTGTTCTTTAGTTTCGTTAGTGGGCTGGCAAAGCAGCTCGGTCCTACAGCCTTTAAAACACACTGCTGGTCATCGAAGGATGTCAGGGGTGAATCCCTGCAAACAGGTGGCTCTCTGCCTCCTGCCAGATCCAGAGTTCCTGCTGGAGATGGCCCTTGTGTAGCCTAGGTGTGACTGAGTAGGATGAGTGGGGCTCTGCAGTTAACCTGGCTTCTCCTGGCTTGTGCTTTGATTGAGGAGTCCCTTATCCTGAGCTTTGGATGCCAGAAAACAATAGCTGAGGGCTGTGGGGACACAGTGGCTTTAGGAGAGGATTGAAGAGTGTGTCTCAAGTGGCTTTTCCTGTTCCTCAGGTGATGTGTCTGAATTTAGCTAGTGTGGCGTCAGCGGGGATGAGTGCTCGGAGCCGGGGACGCCGTGCTCCCTGTCCCTGCCGGGCTCTGCCCTCGCCCCCTGCCCGGGATCCCGCCCTGCAGAGCCCAGCGCCAGCAGCCCTGATCCCAGGACCTGCTGCAGGAGTTCTCCTTTCCGTCACTTACTGACCAGGCTGCTCATAGCGCTGACTTCCACCCAGGCCCCCACATCTGCTCTAGGTGGTGGAAATGCTTCCCAGTGGCTTCCCCATTCTTTGTAAATCTCTTCCCAGTCCTGCCTGCTCGTTACAGCTGGAACAGGGCTCAGGGAGTCTCCAGCTCGTTAGACGTTAGGAGCATCTCGGGTATAGAAGGTGGAATCCCCCTCCCGTATGTTGTTCATCCGTTGCTGAATTCAGAATCCACGAGAAGGCTGCCTGTCTGGTGGAGCAGATGAGTCGGAAGGGCACGGTCGCTATCACAGCAGGACAGGGCTGCGTCGCTGCTCTGCTGCAGGCACGATAAAACAAGAACTTGTGTCTTAGAGTTTCCAGAGTCTCTTTTCTTTCTGTACCTCCGAACTCAGAGGATGGTAGGAGCAAACCCCAACACTGGAGGAGGATGCGCTCCTCCTGCTGACGTGCTGCGTGTTTTTGCAAGCCTGGGGGCGAGCAGCTGTCTGGGGGAGCTTTCAGACTTCTGCCAGAGATCATTCATGTCATGGGTGGGATGAGAAACATTCCTCCATCATCTTTTTTTACTTTTTCTAGATTGCAGGAATGAAGAACTGTTGCCTAAATGGAAAGTGCCAGCATTCCGACTTCAAAACCTTATGGAAATTAATGACATATCTGAAGAAGCTTCTCCTGTTTTTATATACTGTGAGAAGAATTGAGATCTTAAAATGGTTTGCACACAGTCCCTGGAAAAAGAAACTGCTCTGTGTATATCTCTTGGAAATTTAAGACAATAGTACTCCTCCTTTGCAATAGCAGTTAACAGATGTGAAAATAAATATAATTGACTCTAGTGTATGATTGATTATACAAAGGAGCATGGATGCATTTCAAATGTTAGATATTGCTACTATAATTAAAATTTCATATTGACCCTTTTATCATAATTTCTCCCCATCAAGCACTAAAAATGTTCCACCATTATATTTTATATCTATAACTATAGATATATATTATCTGAGATTTCCTTTTGAACTCACTGCAGCAAATAACTTTTTGAGTCATTGACTTCATTTTATATTTAAAAGTTACAGAATATCATTATTTTCATTCTGCCATTATATTCTAATTAAAAATGTTTGTGCATAATGCTTTGGAAAAATGGGTCTTTTATAGGAAAAAACTGGGATAACTGATTTCTATGGCTTTAAAAGCAAAAATATATAATATACTAAAACAACTCTAATATTGCTTCTTGTGTTTTACTGTCACAGATTAAATTACAGCTTTTATGAATGATTAAATTTTAGTACATTTTCATTTTGTTTCTGTGTTTTTGTTACGGTTTCCAGGCTTTGGTTTTAATCCATGTTTTGTGAGTTCCTCCTCCATTCTGGTAGATGAAGTGTTTTGTTACACCAGTCCCCACCAGTATGTCGTTACGCCGATGAGGTGTCTTCTCGCACCCTCCCTGTGGGATGTATTTCATCATACCACACGCTAAAGTACAGAAGGCTGCCTTCTCATTAGTTTTGTATGTTCTTTTGAATGCCTAAGGATTGTGTTCTGCTGAAAATACCTCCTCTGTACAGTTACTTTTATATGTACAAATTTGGTTTAGTCCTGTATCAAGCTCTGACGTTTACTATGATCTTTGGTTTTACCCAGTCTCATATTTCGGGGGTGAAATCCCAGGTTTGACAGTGCCCCCGCCGGGCGGGAGCTGTGGTGGTCTCTCCTGCTCACCAGCTCGACACGAAGCTCTGGAGTTGAAGTTGGTTCTGTCTAAATATAATTTCCACAAATCAAACAGCAGCTTTATGTTTTTAGATGAAATCTGGCTAACCTCACCTGATCTGCAGTCAGCTGAAGGGGCTTTTGCTTCATTTGGGGTTTGTTTCTTCTTTTTTTTTTTTTTTTTTTTTTTTTTTTTCCATACCTGTTGGTTTCATGAAGTTTAGAGGAGCAGGATACGAAGAGACCCATGGGTGCTCCACCCGGATCTTCCTGTGTAAAAACTCATTTTTCTTTTTTTCTTTTACTCCTGTGAGTAAAAGAACCGCCCTGGGACCGGTGGGGCCCAAACCCCATCCTCAGGGGGATGCTGCTGGAATTCCTGCAGTGCTGGAGGACTTGCTCCTGCTTCGCTTCTGAGTGAGAAGAGAAATGTATCTTCACAGTGGAGAAAACTCAGGACGGACTTTGTCCTGGTGGTTTAAATGGGAAGTCTAAATGTAATAGCTGGTTCCTGGACCCATTGTGTAGTTTTATTGGATATAGATATAGATTTATTGGGGAGAAATGGCTGTAAGTAGGTTTTTTCTAAAACTGTATTACTGATGCAGCTGTTGAATTATACAGAGATCCCAGTTTGTAAAAGCAGCCCAACCAAGACTGGATGAGAATATCTGGATGACGATCCCGTGAACACATCTGCCGGCTTACAGGCTCCTAGGACAAACGTAGTTACTTAGCTGGCTCTCTTCAGCCTCTCTATGCGCTTCCTTTTTCAGGAGGAGCAGAAGCACGGTTATTTGCAGGTTGGATATCTTTACTAAATGTAAAAATATTTTAGTAATAAAGTAATTTTAACGTACATGCTGGTTGCTAGTTGTCTCGTCTATAAAAACAGAAACCTAACCTTAATTTTCTAGACGGGGTGCAGTACGCAAGTGCATCACACCTCCTGTTGGAAGTGCCGGGTGTGGTT